TGGTTTGGATTCTATAATTTAAATATGTGTATCATTTAAGGAGAATCCTCAAAGAAATATTGTGCTACTTCAAAGGCATAAAGAAAGATAAATTTACACACATATCCCTCTATGTTCTCGTCATTTGAAATTTGTTTGAAATTCCTTTTTTACATTCTTAGCCTATTTTTTATTTTTTAACCAAATTGCTATTTATTTCAAACCCTCAAAGTATGAATTTTTTCTAAAGAATTAAAGTTGTTGCAAAAAATCAATTTTGAATATTCGCATGCTCTCACCCCTGTTAAAGATAACGAAGGTAAATGTTAGAGAAAGAAATTTGGAAGGAATATATCACGTAAAGAAATGAAGGGTTTTGAATGAGCATGTCTTTTTTATATTTTTTAAGGTTGAATCTTTGGATGTATTGAGATATGAAAACAAAAAATATATATTTCCTCTAAAAAATACTCAAATTGTCACTATATGGCGTTGGAAGGCCCAAATAAATAAGTTACTTTGGTAATTTTAGCCCCAAAGAGGCATCAATAAACAATGTTCACAAAATCAAATCGAAACGGTTAACCGGACATAGGCTCGGAAGCGGTTTAACCGACCTAACCGAAAAATCTGCTGATTCAATCGTTCTAATCAAGCAAGTCTGGGCAGTCAAAAAATAGTTAAAAAATACAAAAAAACATTACTAAAATATGAAAAAGCATATAAATAATGATTAAAACAAAATACATTCAAATGAAGTTGAAAAATAATGAAAAAATGGATTTAACGAATCGATTATTGAATTAAAGTAAATGTTAATGACCTAAACAATTTTTAACCTTTACCATAATGTAAAGAATATTACAAAATGTATTACAAGACAAATTCTTTATCTTCGAGAATTTAAATACATTTTTTTAAAAAAAAAATTTACCGATTGATCACCAAAATCGCCCAAAGCCGGAACCAACCAGTGGCCGGTTCTGACCTAACCTGGCGGTTAGCAGTTAGATCGCCGTTTTTCCAACAGTGTTAATAGAACAACAAAAGTACACATGCTTGTTTCAAGGTCATAAATAATGAAATACTCGTTCAATGTTTTAAAATAAAAAGTTAATATGAGGTTGCCAAACTTAAACTTTACAATTAAGGTGCACTTCAAATATCCATCAAAAATAGTTGTTTTGATGTTGAAAAATCCTCTAATTATTCATCTTAACATCAAGATGTATAGGTATGAAAAATAAAAAGATATCAAGTCCCAAAAATAATATATCTTGTAATACACTATCTAGACCGTCTATTTTTTAGATTTTCATATGTTTAAAGATCCACTTTATTTGAACCATATTTGGAGCTTAAATATTTATAAGTTGAGATGGAAATAAATTTGCACGCCATCATAAGAATTTTGTATACTATAATTAAATGTTATGATAAGATTTAGAGGTGTGCTTTATTTTAATTGTTTAAGGTTGGAAGCTTATGCAACCCACACTATTTGAAATGATGAACGATAAGGGTATTTACGTTAATGCGGAAACAATTATACTTTTTTAAGGACCCCTATAGTTCGAAAGTGCCCCTAATTGGTCAATTTGAAGACTTTCTAAGGTTTCTTTTGAGGATGTACATGATTTAAATATAAATTTAAAATCACAATGCATGAATTGTGTGATGTTCATGTCATATAATAATACATGATACAAAGATTAAATCCACTTTCAACCTTTAAGGTCCATCAATGTCTAAAGTTGATTTGAGATAGATTTAGGTCGTAAAAGAAACAATTACAGGCTTTGAACCTTCGACATCGTACCTCCAAGATCTAAAGTATATTTATTGTAACAAAAACTTAAAAATTTCGTACCTTCAACATCCGAAGTACGAGTAATTAGGTTTTTTTTTTAACAATTTAAGCTATGCGATATGGGAAAAACAAAACCACAACATAAAACCGCCATATTACTCAAATATACAACAAATTCTGACCAAAATATGTTATACTTTCTCAATAGTTGATGTCCATTTATTCCCTCTGGATAAATCCTACTTAGGATTAACTTTAGGCCTTCAAAATTTAGAAATATAAAATTGACCTTAATAAATATATATATATTAAAAAAAAAACTAATATCACCTTCTACGCACTTGAAAAAATTAGGCCACACATATTACACTTGATAATATTTCCCTTTTTACGTGAAAAAAGTTCCCTCGTGTAGTTAGGTGTCAGAATATTTTCAATCGTACCGCATCTTTTCACACCAATAGAGCATTAGTGTGAAAAGATACACTGTGACCAATTGGTTTGAAAATATTCTCACACCTAACTATAGGAAGGAATATTTTAATATTAAAATATTTTTTCGAAAATATTTTCACATGGGCCAAATGTACCCTTAATGTCTCAAGATTGGAGGGAGATCGTTGAATATTTAGAGAATGATATCTAGATATTAGAAAACTCAAATTTCAGTTTCTTTATTTAGAGAGTGATTGTTTAGTGATTCTCAAGTGGTTTTGAAATTTTTAAATTGAAAATATCCTCCAAATAATGCAAACTATGCGAGGCCTAAACTCTATACGGCGGTTCAACAAAAATACTAAAATAGTCAATGCTCATCATCTGTGGGTTTCCCTTAACAACGGGACAACTTCTGCACCTCACCAATTCCTGTGACTTTGCTGATTTATTTTGATCGAAGGTTAATGACATTTGATTGGATTAAATTGAAATTTCACATATACATGTTAACATTTTCTAACTCAGTGTTAACAAAATCGAATCGGAACGGTTAATCGGATATGGGCTCGAAAGCAGTTTAAACCGCTTAATTGGTAAACCGGTAAATTCAACCGTTCTAAGCGAGCAAGTTCTCGGCGGTCAAAAAAGTGTTAAAAAAATAAACAAGATACCAAAAAAATCTACTAAAATATGAAAAGCATTTAAAGAATGATTAAAACAAAACACATTAAAATGAAGTTAAAAATTAATAAAAAAAATAGATTTTAACAAATCGATTTTTGAATTAAAATGAGTGTTAATGACCAAAACATTTTTTAATCTTTACCATAATGTAAACAATATTAAAAAATGCAATACAAACTAAATTCCTTATTTTTGAGAATTATATACATTTTTTTTATTTTTTTTAAATATGGATCGATCACCAAAACCGGAACCAGCCAATGGCTAGTTCCGA